TGTGTGTGTGTGTGTGTGTGTGTGTGTGTGTGTGTGTGTGTGTGTGTGTGCGTGCGCTTGATCAGATATAATACATGTATGTATTATATCTGATTTGTCCATTTATCTGTTGATGGGTACTTAGGTTACCTTCATAGCTCAGGTATTGTAAATAATGCCGCAATAAGCATAGGGTGCATACATCTTTTGAAATTAGTGTTTTAGTTTTCCTTGGGTAAATTGCCAGTAGTGGAATTACTGGATTGTATGGTACTTTTATTTTTAGTTGTTGGAGGGACCTCCATCCTGTTTTCCACAGTGGCTGCACCCATTTACATGCCCACCAGCAGTTCCTGAGGATTCCTTTTCCTCCACCTCCTCGCCAGCACTTGGCTCGCTCTTGTCTTTTGGACACTAGCCCTGCTGGCAGGTGAGAGGTGATACCGCATTGTGATTCTCATTTGCATTTCCCAGATGCTGAGTCATGTTGAGCATCTCTTCATGTGTCTGTTGGCCATCTGGATGTCTGCTTTGGAAAAGTGTCTATGCAGGTCCTCTGCCCATTTTTCCATCAGATTATTTGTCTTTTTGGTGTTATTTGGATATTAACCCCTTATCAGAGATATCATTTGCAAATATCTTCTTCCATTCAGTCGCTTGCTTTTTCATGTTGCTGATGATTTCCTTTGCAGGGCAAAAGCTTCTTAGTTTGATGTAGTCCCATTAGTTTATTTTTGCTTTTGTTTCCCTTGCCTGAGGCGACACAGCTAGAAAAATAATGTCCCAGAGATTACTATGTTCTTTTCTAGTTTTATGGCTCCTGTTTTCACATTTAGGACTTTTATCCATTTTAAGTTTATTTTTATGTATGTTGTGAGAAAGTGGCCCCATTTTATTCTTTGTAAGGTTTTCCCAACATCATTTTTGAAGAGCCTGTCTTTTCCCCCGTTATATTTTCACCTCCTTTGTTGTAGATTGGCAGACTACATAAGGGCATGGGTTTATTTCTGGGCTGTCAGTTCCATTCCATTGTGTTTGTGCCAGTACTGTTTGAACACGGTGACTCTGTAGTATAGTTTGAAATATTGGTTTGTGCTACCTCCAGCTTTGTTGTTCTTCCTCAAGATTGCTTTGGCTATTTGGGGTCTTTTGTGGTTTCGTACACATTTTAGAGTTGTTTGTTCTAGTTCTGTGAAAAATACTATTAGTATTTTGACTGGGATTACATTAAATCTGTAGATTGCTGGGATGCCTGGGTGGCTCAGTCGGTTAAGCCACTGCCTTCCGCTCAGGTCATGATCCCAGGGTCCTGGGATCGAGTCCTGCATCAGGCTCCTTGTCCATCAGGGAGCCTGCTTTCTCTCTCTGCCTCTGCCTGTGACTCTGCCTACTTGTGCTCTCTTTCTGACAATAAATAAATAAAAAATCTTAAAAAAAATTCTGTAGATTGCTTTGGATAGTATGGATATTTTAACAATATTTATTCTTCCAGTGCATGAGCATGGTATATCTTGCCATTTATTTGTGTTGTCTTTGTTTTCTTCATCAGTGTCTTAATAGTTTTTAGAGTATAGGTCTTCAACCTCTTTTGTTAAATATAGTCCTAAGTATCTTATTCTTTATTATGCAGTTGTAAATGTTATTATTTTTTAAATTTCCCTTCCTGCTCTTTTGTTACTAAGTATATAGAAATGCAGCAGATTTCTGTATACTGTTTTTTACCTCCCACAACTTTACGGAATTCATTTATTCTAATATTTTTTGGTGGGGCTTTAGGGTTTTCTCTGTATAGTGCCATGTCATCTGCAAATGGTGACAGTTTTACTTCCTCCTCACCAACTTAGACATTTTTTAAATTTTTAAAAAATCTGATTGCTATGGCAAGGATTTCTAGTGCTATGTTGAATAATGGTCATGAGTGAACATCCTTGTGTTGTTCCTGATCTTAGGGGAAAAGCTTTTAGTTTTTCATCTGAGTAGGATGTTAGCTGTGGGTTTGTCCTATATGACCTCTATAATATTGAAGTATGTTACCTCTGTACCCACTTTGTTAAGAATTTTTATCATGAGTGGATGTTGAATTTTGTCAGATGCTTTTTTTAGATCTTTTGAATGATTTTATCTTTGATTTTGGTAATATATAGCATGCTGATTAATTTGCATATATTGAACCATCCTTGCGTCCCTGGAATAAATTCCACTGGTTGTAGTGAATGATCCTTTTCATGTATTTTTAAATTTGGTTTGCTAATGTTTTATTTGCATCTACATTTATCAGAGATACTGGCTTATACTTTTCTCATGGCATTCTTGTCTGATTTTGGTATTAGGGTAATGCTGGCCTTATAAAATGAGTTTGGAAGCATTCCTTCCTCTTTTTTTGTTTGTTTTGTTTTTGTTTTTGTTTTTGTTTTTTGACTAGTTTAAAGAGTGTTATTACCTCATTTTTAAATGTTTGGTAGACTTCACCTGTGAATCAGCTTGGCTCTGAACTTTTATTGGCTGGTAATTTGTTGATTGCTGATTCAATTTCATTACTATTAATTGGCGTGTTCAGATTTTCTATTTCTTCCTCATTCAGTCTGGTAAGATTTTATGTTTCTAGGAATTTATCCATTTTGTCTAGTTTGTCTGTTGTTGGCATGTCATTTTTTGTAGAAATCTCATTTTTAAAAATTTGTTATTTGTAACTTGTCCTTTCATTTATGATTTTGAGTCTTTTTTTCTTGATGAGTCAGCTAAAGCTTTATTAGTTTCGTTTGCTTTTCAAAGAACCAGCTCTTAGTCTCATCGATCTTTTGTTTTTTTTTTTTCTCTATTTCATTTATTTCTGCTCTGATCTTTATTATTTTCTTTCTTTTGCTAAGTTTGGACTTCGTTCTTCTTTTTCTGGCTCTGTTAGATGTAGAGTTAAATTGTTTGAGATTTTTCTTGTTTCTTGAGGTAGGCCCGTATTGCTATAAATGTCCCTCTTAGAAGTGCTTTTTTTGTGTCCCAAAGATTTTGAATTGTTGTGTTTCCATTTTCATTTGTCTTCAGGTATTTTTTTCTAGTTGATTTTTATGTTGACCCATTGGATGTTTAGTAACATGTTATTTAGTCATGTTTGTGTTTCTTCCACTTCTCTTGTAATTGATTTCTAGTTTCATATGGTTGGATAGACAGTTGATATAATTTCAGTCTTCTTAAATTTATGAAGACTTGTTTTGTGGCCTATTATGTGACCTTGAATGTGTATTCTGTAGTTTTCCATGGACTGTTCTATATCTCTTAAGTCCATCTGGTTTCATATATCATTTGAAGCCGTGGTTTCCTTACTGATTTACTGTCTCAGTGATCCATTGATATAAGTAGGGTGTTAAAGCCCTCTACTGTTATTGCAATACTATCAACTTTTCCCTTTATGTCTGTTAATATTTGCTTTATATGTTTAGGTACTCCTGTGTTAGGTATATAAATACTTGTTACATCTTCTGATAGGAGTGATCAATTTTTCCTTATGTAATGACCTTTCTTGGTCTCTTGTTAGTCTTTGTTTTAAAGTCCATTTTATTTTTTAAATTTTTTAATAAACATATAATGTATTATTAGCCCCAGGGGTATAGGTCTGTGAATTGCCAGGTTTACACAGTTCACAGCACTCACCATAGCACATACCCTCCCCAGTGTCCATAACCCCACCACCCTCTCCCTACCCCCCTCCCCCCGGCAACCCTCAGTTTATTTTGTGAGATTAAGAGCCTCTTATGGTTTGTCTCCCTCCCAATCCCATCTTGTTTCGTTTATTCTTTTCCTACCCCCCAAACCCCCCACGTTGCATCTCTACTTCCTCATATCAGGGAGATCAAATGATAGTTGTCTTTCTCTGATTGACTTATTTCGCTAAGCATAATACCCTCTAGTTCCATCCACGTCATCACAAATGACAAGATTTCATTTCTTTTGATGGCTGCATAGTATTCCATTGTGTATATACACCACATCTTCTTTATCCATTCATCTGTTGATGGACATCTAGGCTCTTTCCATAGTTTGGCTATTGTGGACATTGCTGCTATAAACATTTGGGTGCACGTGCCCCTTCAGATCACTACGTTTGTATCTTTAGGATAAATACCCAGTAGTGCTATTGCTGGGTCATAGGATAGCTCTGTTTTCAACTTTTTGAGGAACCTCCATGCTGTTTTCCAGAGTGGTTGCACCAGCTTGCATTCCCACCAACAGTGTAGGAGGGTTCCCCTTTCTCCGCATCCTCGCCAGCATCTGTCATTTCCTGAAAGTCTATTTTATTTGATATGAGTATACCTACCCTCATTTTTTTCCCCACTTTCATTTGTAATGTGTATATTCTCCTGTCCCATCACCCTCTGTGTCTTTAGACCTGAAGTGAGTCTTCTGTAGGCAGCTAATAAATGGACCTTTTTTTTTAATCCATTCACTCAGTATCTTTTGATTGAAGCATTTAGTGCATTTACATTTAAAATAGTTATTGATAGGTATGTACTCACTGCCATTTTGTTAATTGTATTCTAGGTTTTGTAGTTCTGTTTCTTCTTCTCTTGCTCTTTTCCCTTGTGGTTTCTTTAGTGTCATGCTTGGATTCCAGTTTCTTTACTTTTTTGTATTAATAATGGCTTTTGGTTTGTGTGTGATTGCCATGGGGTTCATATGTAACATCCTGTGTGTATAGCAGTCTATATTTGGTTGATGCTCAGTTAAGTTCAAACACAAAGCATATTAAATTTTTATTACCTCTTCCATGTTTTATATGTCGTATTTTGCATGTTTTTTATTTTGTGTATCCCTTGATAATTTTTGTATATATAATCGAACCTCCTTACTAGTTTGTAAGTGAACACCCCACTGGATGTGGCAGTGCAAGTGCCTGTGGGCAGGTGGGTTGGATGGGCTGGCTTTTCAGGGGAAAACAGGGGCAGGCAAAAACGTGGAGCTAGCAAGATAGATGGAGAGTGTCAGAAATGGCTCCCTAGAGAGCCAGAGTTGGGGGCAAGAAAAATAGCCCCGGCCACACTTTCATTCCAGAGAACAAAGGTCTGCAGATCCCTGCCCCTCTGGCATACATCCTGAAGTTAATCAGTAAATCTTTACCTATGTATGCCAAGTGCTTTTCAAACTCCTGCACCTGTGCTCTGCCTTTGGCCATTATTTAACATGCTGGCTATTTAAGGGCGGAGACATCATTTCCTATAGCTCTTTAGCTCCCCGAGTCAGCTGCACTGGTTTTTAAAACTCCCAGAATGAAGTCCTGATGATTTCAAAGCCAGATGTTTTAGGAACCTGCCTTCACAATGTGGATCCCTCCCCAGGGCCCAGGATACCCTTACTCCTTTGTGCCCACGATGTCCCTACCATTTGTGGAGAGTCCCACCTAGGGTTTAGTTCCCGATTGTGTCTGTACCCCTCCTCATGTGGCCTTCTCTCCAGGTCTAGCTGTGGAAGGCCTCTTCTGCCGGTTGTCAGAGTGGGTTGCAGTATGTGTAGTTGTTGCCTCACTGCAGGGGAAGGAGGTGAGTTTGGGATCTTTTCTGCCCACCATCTTCTGGGTCATCCTGTAGCTTCTTAAATGCCCAGGTAATTCTGTTGTGCAGCTGAATTTGGAAACCACTCGATTGAGATTTTGTCCCTCAGGTCATTATGATTTCAGCTAGGGTTGCCATTAAAACAGGAATGGGCGTGTTCTTTTTCACCTCTACCATATTCCTTCAGTGGGTATTTTTTAAGTACTGTTATATTCTAGACACCGAAATATAGCATTATTGTGAATCTTAGAGTACTGTGATAAATCAGAAATGTGAGGTTTTCAGGGATCGCACATGGTGGTTGTACATAAGAATCCAATTGTATATTGTTAGGTTGAGAAAAAAATTTTTTTTTAAGATTTTGTTTATTTTAGAGAGAGAGCGGGGAGAGGGACAAGCAGACTCTGCATGATGTGGGGCTCCATCTCACAACTCTGATGACATGACCCAAGCTGAAACCAGGAGTCGGCTACTTAACTAATTGAGCCACCCTGGTACCCCTGGTTTTTCATTCTTGCATATTTCCACTGATGTTCAAAGCGTTGTTATAAATTTAAATGTTTATTTTGAAGATGATATATGCCTATGTAGTGATAGTGGCTGAAAATAAATTTAAAAAGCAGACTTCGTGATGAGCAGTAAATTTGATACAAATGGAGTAAAAATATTCAAATTTATTATATCTGTCATTATAAGCTGGAACTAGTCTGAAAGGATAAGAACAGTTTATGCATTTATTCAACATTTATTGAGCATGCTAGGTGCTGGGAATGTATTGGGAATAACACACAGGAATAGTGAGTTTTTGCCCTCAGAGTACAATAATGGAGTGATAGAAGATACAGTGGGTTACACTGGGAAGTGAAGGGAAGGAAAAGTACTCCAATGGAATGGTATAATGGTATAATGAGATCTGCAGGAGAAACAGGCAGAGAAAGGTAAAAGCAGTTAAGGCTTCACAGCAAGATGAGCAAAAGCCCTGGGGAGCCTATATTCCAGGAGCACCTTGTGTGTTACTAGAATCAACGTTGATCACCAGAGTGGGGGAACGGAGGAGGGGGTTGAGGGGGGTGAGGATACACCAGCACGAAGCTGCCAGAGGATTTTCAGTGCAGAGGGAGGGAGATGGGAGGTATGATCCACTTTACTCAAGCAGAATCTCAAACATTTTACTGGAGAGCAGAAGTGAGATGATAAGAGGCAGGATCAAATGAAATCTTGATCAGCAAGGACAGGTAAGAGTTGATGAGGACTGAAGAGAGACAAGAGAGGCCTAGTTCTAAAGATGTGTGGCTTCCACAGGTCAGGCCTTCAGTTTGCACCTACTTGCAACTGAGCCTCATTCCTGGTTTAGGGAATGGTAATCCTTAGAAGACACAGAAGATACTGAAGTAGAACTTGACTTCACGTCTCTATCTTCTTGAAGAAAGTACATGGTTTTGTTTAAGTCCTGAAGTACCTCAATCTCTTCCTTCAGTTGCTGCTGCCTTTCTTCAAATTGATGGATTTTTTTCTGTATTGCTATGATAAAAAAAGGAATTTCAGGTTAGTATACTGTTTTATAAACAATGTACTGTTTTTAGCCTCTTTCACTTGCAAGTGCGTAATACACACTTCGTGCCCCAAATGAAAAGAATCTAGGGCCTTGTGAGCAGGAACTGGTTCTTTTATACCTTTGCTTCCTCTTCGAATTCAGGACAGAATTCTAGTTTTTATCACATAAAGCCACTCAGTACATCTTTAGAGCTTGAGACCCCTTTGTATATATTTGAGAACTCAGAAGCAGAAACTGTATAACTTTCATGCTACACATTACCCATTTGTTGAGAGATAATAAGTGGAAAGAGCACGTGATGAGAATATCAAGATAAGGGCAAACTTTCATAAAAATGCATCCAATTTTTAATGTTACATAAAAGCTTTTGGTTTTATTTAGAAATAGGAAGGCCTTTACGGTGGAAACTTAGGAAGAAGATACTTTAATTAGGCTATATAAATAAGAGTATTACTCAGTGACAGTGTCATTTTTTGAAAACTTCAAGGTTGAAGAATACCAAAACACACATATAAGCTTTCTCTAGAATACCTGTAGTTAACTGTCTGGAACGTTAGAACTGAGCAACATTAAACTAAGTAAGAGAGTCTGTATCAGTAGGGATGTCAAGTTAGGTCTTTTAAAAGTTGGTTCTAATGCAATTCCAAATAGTGTCTCCTCCTGGTGCCCCACTCCCCCCAAGTACTACACTGTAACGTAGATCCTCCCAACTAACCCATACATGTAGTGGAAACGTGAATTATATATGAAAGAAAAGTAACAGAGATGAAAGTCCCCTACAAAATAAGGCTTTTTAGAAAAAGATTTTAAGGGCTGCTTTTTTTCTTTATCCTTTTTTTTTTTTTAAACTTATAATGTATTATTTGCTTCAGGGGTATCAGGGGTACAGGTCTGTGAATCATCAGGCTTACACAATTCATAGCACTCACCATAGCACTTACCCTCCCCAATGTCCATCACCTAACCACCCTATCCCTCTCACCCCCCTCAGTTTGTTTCCTGAGATTAAGCGTCTCTTCCAGTTTGTTTCCCTTCCTGGTGCCATCTTGTTTCATTTTTCCCCTCCCTTCCCCCCACAATCCCCCACCCTGCCTCTCAAATTGCTCCTATCAGAGAGAGAATATGGTAATTATCTTTCTCTGATTGACTTATTTCACTCAGCATAATACCCTGTAGTTCCATCCCCATCGTTGCAAATGGAAGATTTTTTTTTTGATGACTGCATAGTATTCCATTGTATATATATACCACATCTTCTTTATCCACTCATCTGTTGATGGACATCTAGGCTCTTTCCATAGTTTGGCTATTGTGGACATTGCTGCTATAAACATTCAAGTGCACATGCCCCTTTGGATCACTATATTTGTATCTTTAGGGTAAATACCCAGTAGTGCGATTGCTGGGTCATAGGGTAGCTCTATTTTCAACTTTTTGAGGAACCTCCATGCTGTTTTCCAGAGTGGCTGTACCAGCTTGCATTCCCACCAACAGTGTAGGAGGGTTCCCCTTTCTCCGCATCCTCTCCAG